CATATTTGTAAGCTAAAATAATTAACTTAAAAAATGATCCCCACCACGAATAATTTTCCTTTCCCACAACATTTTTTTTGCAACTTTAGTTTTTTAGTAAATTTCATAATTTTTTAATAAATAATTAAAAATTATATTATAAATACATTACTTAATACGGTTCGATGGGTACTCAAAGTTTCAGTTTAATCTAATTATTCTATTAAGTAATTTGAACTCAATTTGAATTCGGTATGACCGAGTTGGAATCGACCTTTTAACCGAACTAGTAGCAAACTCGAATCAAGTAGTTTGATTAATTTACACCTTTAGTGTACATCAAATTTATGACCGAATTCGAATCGAACCTTTGACCAAGCTAGTCGCAAATCCGATTTAAGTAACTTAGTTAATTTACATCTCTAGTATGCATTAAACTTCTTTAGGTCCGTATGGTTCATGGAATAATATAAGATTAGATTAATCATCTTATGTTATTTAATGTTTAGTTAGTTGCATTTGATTCATAGGACCACACATTCCAACTAATCGAATTAATTCTCAATTCATGGAATAAAATAGTCCTATGGGGAGGTGGTATTAGTTATTATGGGATGATTAAAATATAGGATAATGAAATTTTAGACTAAATTATTCTTACAAATAATATAAATTTATACTTTTATAATTGTATAACCTTATCCTCACATGATGATATAATATGAATGGACTAATTTGCCCCTACTAATTAATTTAAGGGTGAAATACATTAAACCCCCTTGTGGTTTGGGTCATTGTCATAAAACCTTCTCATTATTTAAAAACCCCCATATAAACTCCTTGTGCTTTGGACTTCTTTGGAAAATGGATGGAAATCATCCAAATTGACGGAAAGATGTAAAATTCCAGTGCTAACCCCATTTTCAAAATGTACCAATAGTTAATTCAGGATTAGCTATTATTTTACTAAATTTCTTAATTCGTTTGAGAACAAAAAGTAAATTAAGGGGCTAAATTGAAATTTTAAAAAGATTTCATCTTTTCCAAACAGTTGTCTTCTCCAACCTGCCTACCTTCACTCTACGAACACTGATGCCTTTTCTATTGTCATCATCTCTAGGTTCAACCATCAATTATTTATACCAGGCCTTTTTTTTTTGCATTTTTCTTCCTTTTCCTTTTCTTTTCTTCCTTCATACTAAAATTAACCTAAAACTTGAAATGAACATGAAATATTTGTATTAAAATCGAACTTATAAAATTTAGAGTTGCTTTTGATAACGGAAGCTGTTGATTGTTGAATCCTCGTAAACTTTGATCTTCTTATTAAAATATTGGAGAATGATACAAAAGTAGTTGAATACAAAGAGTGGTTGAAAGAAAGAAGGATTTGCTTAAGACTCTGTACTGCAAGGTTTCACCGATGCTTGGTCTTCTGATTTTGAATCTATTTATAGAGACAGTCATTCTTGCATTTCATTTGTATTTGCATTTCATTCTTACATCCTAGTTATGATTTTGCATTTCATTTGTTTAAGATTAACAAACGAATGATGAACAGTATCCAAGTTATGATAAAATTAGTCACGTACCTTCACTCGAAATCAGCAGGTACTCTACTTCTACTTTTAATTTTCCCTACTTAAACTTTTTGTTTACCGTTCTTGCAATTCCCTTTTTTCCAGCTTCCAATCTCAAGTTCAATAATACATTAATACTTCACCAACAAGATTAAATTCTTTCTCTCTCTCTCTCTCTCTCTCTCTCTCTCTCTCTCTCTCTCTCTCTCTCTCTTTTTCTCTTTGGGTATTGTGATTTTTAATTTCTATTTTTTCCTTTCTGAATGCAACAAAATTATACATATTGCTTTGTGGAGTCTACTTTAGTTTTAGCGTCGGATTGTTTATTTATTTATTTATTCATTCTTCCTTAGACATCTTTGAACGCAATTCTTGTTTCATGACTAATTAAGGAATTTGGTGGAGAATAGCAAGTTCATTACTTTTGAGTAGCTTCCATCTTCTGGCATAAAATCAAAGATTCTGCTTGTTTTTCCATTTTCGGGCATGGCTACACATGATCCTTCTTAAATACAACAATTCAATGGCTTTATATGTGTTAACGTTGATTGTACTAATGAACAACGTTATTGGGAGTAAACAATACATATCAATTGATTGTACCAATGAACAAGTGTTTCCCATGTAAGTATAATTATTTTACATTACCATTCCTATGAATCGAGGAATTGATGCCAATATGTTGGTCTAAGCTCCAATATTTAGGAAAATTATGTGATAAGGAAGAATCATGTTGCCTTTAGGACTCACTCATAGTAAAGCCAACACTCAGAGCACATGAATTTTGTGAGACTGCCTAATTTGGGCAAAAGAAACATATTTGTATGCGTATTATGTTCATACTTGTTTTGCACAAATAGAAAGCTATTGAAAGAGGACCCACCAGCAATATAGAGAGATATTGTGATGGATTGGGATCCTGAAGTAGTTGATTAACTCTCACATTCAGGACAATCCACCCTCCTGTTACTTAATTAAAGCTAATGTTATAATGATTATTGTAATTTGTAGGATTGTTAGGTTTCAATGCAAATTTTTTTGCAATAAGGGAGAGATGGAACTTAAGAAACGGGAGGTTAGAGGGGCAAGGGCAGAAGATTTGAATTTAGAATATTTAATTCCTGGAATCTCAACTTTAATCACTAAACTAAGGTCACACTGACAATGGAATTCCTTTTGCTACATCTTGTGTGGTTTGATTTTTAACAAAATTTGTGTCATTTTGCTGTAGTTGCTGCAATTGTTGTGGTGGCATAATAGATTGCCATATTGTGCTTTTCTTCCCCTTCCCATTCATCAAATGACTGGCCAAGACAAATATTCTGCTGAATTTCTTGGCCGAATACCTGGGGCATCAAGGATGATGGAAATAAAAAGAAAGAGAAACATAACTGGATTGTATAAAACAAAATTTCCAGCCCTGTTTAATATAATAATTTCTTTAATAGGAATGCCCTAATTTTGTACTTAAAAACGCATTATTCAACACATGAACCAGGTTTTACTATGGCCTACAGCTCCAGTAACATTTAGGATAAAATAGACTTTACCCCCCTGTAATTTAATACTTTTTCACATAACTCAACTATAGTTTTCAAAAAATATATATATAATCCCCCTATTGTTAGTCATTTTCAGCTTTATGTAGGGTACTTTTTATATTTTAGTTAACTTCGTTATGGATTGCAAATTCCGTTATTTTGACAATTTAGTTTAAACTATGAGAGAGTTATACGTAACTTTTAAAATCATAGGAGAGTTTTGTCAAAAAGCATTAGACCACGGTAGGGTAAAATGTGATTTAACCTTACATTTATGTTGCGGAAAAATATTAGATTAATAGACAAGGACTATACAAATCATATGAAGCGTTTGGGCTTAAAGGCCTTGAAAGATCAACTCTTATATAGTATGGTGTGTTAGAGCCATGTTATATCATGAACATCCATTAAATCATGTGCGCTTTTGGGTTTAAGGACCTCAAAAGTGCATAGTTTGATCCCCAACCAATCAAAAGTTGCTCCATTTGGATTATTATTTTTAAGAGTTTTTATAAAAAAATATACTATACCGATTTGATATATATAACGTAAAAAAGTGATTTAAAAATGTGTTCAATAAACACATAAAAATTTTTCGTTAGAAAATTACATTCCAAACAACGTCTAATGACTTTAAACAAAAGGGAAGCCATATTAAATAAAGAAAGAAGCATTATTTTGAAGGTTTAACTTGGGTTTGTGTGTCACAACAATGGCAACCAAACAATCTCTTGCAAGGCATTCTACTCAAGCTTATACCTGAACAGAGCAATGAGATTATGATGAGCGAAAAAGATGGGCTAGAAAGGCTTCTTCAACTGCACTCGCAAGCTAGGAGATGTTTGATAGTCCTCGACGACATTTGGTTAATAGATGCTTGGGATAGCCTAAAAGATGCAATCCCAGTCTCGGAGCATGGCACTGAAATTTTGCTAACAACTCGTAATAGTGGCGTGACAGCATATGTTGGTCCAAATGGTTATCACTTTCTACTGAGTTGTTTAATCGAGAAAGAAAGTGGGAAGTTAGAGTTACTACATAAGAAATCATTGTGGGAGAGTAGTGGTCAAGGTAACATTTTTATTTTTTTCCGTTTACTCACATTAAATTCATTTCATGTAAAAGGCCCGCTCCATAATTGGGCACGCCGCCGTGTTGGGCCGTAGTTCCGTCATTCATTTATATATATATATGTAACTACTAAAATACCATAATGGAAACATAATTCCTTTTGCATTGTTACCGTTTACTTAAACAACTTGATCTCTTTTTTTTTTTAAGATTTATACCATCCAGTGGATTAAAAAGAAAAAAGCAACATATCTCTTAGGATAGTCTTTTTCCTAGACCGTTGATAGGTCTCAAGCGTTTGGGTTGGGAGACTTGCTCGGTTAATAGTCGGTCAAGAATTTTGTATTGTTGTTGAATGATAACCATATGCTTATTTCTCATTATGGAAGATCTACTATGATTGAATCAAGGATTATATGAGAAATGAATGATAGATGCATTGATAGTAAATTAGTTTTGTTTAATGTTACATAGGTTGTGTAGACACCAAAAATTTTGTATCATTTATTTTTTATCCATAATGAATTCTCAGACACCATTATTCATTATAGATGACGGAAATTGATTTCTTGAAAACACCATCACTTGGAACACCAGTTGGCATAGAAGATTTGGTTGAAAGCATTGGACAGGTTTCTAATGAATGGCCTTGCGGCCTTATGATCGTTGAGAATTTAAAAAAAAAAATCAAATACTTCTTTTTAATGGCCACAAAATGCAAAACAATGTTCTGATTATATTGAAACATGGTCTGTAACTAATCTTACTCTTCCTTACCACTGAAATTTTAGATTAATTTATAGCGAATAAATATTTATCAAGAACAACAGATACAGACATCATTCCACCCAATTTATGTCAAATTCCTTCACTTTTGTCAGCCGCTTCTGAGTGTTTTGCGAAATATAAGGCTAAGCTTGCTAAGCTTGCCTGTCTGCTAGGATGCCTTACCTTAAGTGAAAGAAGACGTGAAACTTCATGAAGAACTATTTAGACATTTACATGCTCTGATGGTGTTCCACATCAGGATCACTCTAGCATATCTACACTTCGTTTCGTGTGTATAAAAGGATTACAAATAAGAGTTTGTCAAACTTTTTTATGCATAAGAACAAGCTAGACCAGCTAGTGCAAAAGTTGAGTCTTTTCCTGGTTATAAGTAAAGCATAAAATTTTATCACTGAAATGACAAGAAATCTAGATGAAATGTAATTTTTCCCCCTGCTTGCTCAAAAGCTTTTCTGCTGGGCACGAATGAAGGGTCCATTCCCCAACTCTTTTGCAATCAACTTATCTGTAGAATTAGACATTAATCCAGCACACAGGTTCCAATAGAGAAGTCAAGCACACTGTTGCAAGTATGTTAAGGTCTAGAATTCTAACCCTTTAATTTCGATTCTGTAATCCTTACACACTAAATTGTATTTCCCTCTGAATGAATCAAAATCGCCTTCAACCTGATCAAAGCTACTATCTTGTTCAAGTATTTCACACGAGTAAAGTACAACACGCGCATGAAGTACCATATATAGTAAACCCTTGCATCCAGCAATAAGATTTGTACATATGAGACAAACATGGACACAATTACTTTACTTTTTGATATCTCACCATTAATTGTTAGTGCGAAAACAGAAGTTTGTACCTGAAGATTGCGAATTTTATTGTTCTCGCGTGACAGAATATTGCTGATAGCTAAGTTCGGAACCATCCTACACCAGTTAAAAGGAAATAAAGAGAGAGTTTTGTTGATGTTGGATCCAAAATATAAAACCTTTCTTATGTACAGTGTGTACATAGAAGATGTCTTTCAGAGGAAACATATAAAAATTTCCTCTCTTTTTATTATCCCGCAATATGCCAATCTTCATTCCATTACTACTACTATTGTCACTCTCTCTCCCTGTCTCTCTCTCTCCCCACATGCACAGTTGCATGAATTTCCTCATTTTTCCACTCTAGTTTGATAGTTAAATGAGGTAAGTATTCAAAAACAACAGGGGCCGTTGTTTTATAATTAAATACAGAATAATCATTTGCATGGGCTAAGCACCATGGTTCCAGCTAAAAAAGCATTGGGGCTCTAACTCAGAATGATCCAACCTCTTTGCAGACCTTATCATACTCAATGGATCCAACCTCTTTATTTGAAAGCCTAAAACCTTAGACTCCTTATAGATGTGAACTGTTTCAGTTCGTTTTAGTGATTATAATAGATAGCTAAGCTTTCATGATTCCTTAATCTCAAAAGAACAAAATCAAGGATGAGAAAAAGAAAGGGATACTGCAATCAGTTTTATTCTCCCTTTCAGATGTCATTAAGCTAAATAACATACCAAGTGAAACCATATCCTTCTAGACTCATATATTTAAAAATACCTAGACCATGCAGAGTATTCAGAAGATCTCGTTTTCTCTTGCTAATTAGAACTTTTTAAGCTAACAATTTTCTCAAGGTTGCCAAATTCTGTAGTCTGTGCTTAAAACTATAAACTATCATACTCTTCCCAACAATGATCCTGTGTTGACTTCTGTTCTAATATGGGGTGGAAAGAGAGGACCAAGAGAGGAAAATTTGAATCTAGAGACCGTGCAATGAAGATAGTTTAATTTCTTTCAAGATGGCAGTTTCTAGTGCCTAAATTTCTACTCCTGTGAGGTTTAGCATATTTTCTTCTTGTTGCTTAGTATTCTTTTTTCTATTGCAAAACTGAAGCTTCCAATAAATTCAATTTGTCCAGGAATGAATAGCACTCTATTTACAGAGAAAATGTCACTTATCACATGATGATCCAGTTATTGTATGGTTCAAGATCAATTAAAACATAGACAATGATTTCAGGTTACTGACAAGGACATGCACAAAACATATTAGTTTACCTATTATTCTCCAGGATTCAGAGGTCACCACTGAAAGCTTTTGTTACCTACTCAGGGAATCTCCCATACTCGTTCAAAATATTCCAAACTTCACACATGGAGCTTTTACAGTGATGCTAGCAATAACACAATGGTGAACACCTCCATTTTCTTTCACAAGAAGACCAAATGATGGGTTAGACAACTTTCTCAGACATGGCTTTCACAGGTAAATGCAAGGTTTCCTGAAGAGTCATCAGTTACCAAAAGTCCATCAAATCTACGGAGATGAACTTCATCTACCATACATGGCTTATAAAGCTTGCATACTTTACCAAATATTGCCCAGTTACTGTTAACTCACTTGTTGCTGGAGATAAGGGGCTCAAGGTAGCCTTGACTAATTTCTTTTAATTCTCCAGTGGAAAAAACACTCTTGTCAGGCGTAACACCACTGACATCTGAACTTGTGGAAGTAAGGGAGTCTGCTAATGTTGTAACTGGAGGAGCTTAATCGGTCAATGAATTCTGGCTGTTCTTGAAACTACTTTCAGCTTTGCTACCCAAGGCTTGAAGATTCATTGGAAGATCTAAACTGATGATTGTCTCCAAGAAAATTGCAGGAAAATTGAATGTTGGTGTGTGACATTTAGCTCATAACTCAAAGTAGTCTTTGACGACCTGCCAAGTCCACAAAGAGGATATTATAAACCAAAGGAAAAAAAATATTGTCTGCATCATTTGTGTGACTGAAAGAGAAGCTGATCACCTTTAGACATCATTTGCTTAAAGCTTATCTAAATAAACTATTTAGTTGTAATTGTATCAGTTGTTTGCCTATTCTGACTAGCGACGAAGTGATTTTATTAGTTACATTTTGCCTATACTAAGTGAAAAAGCCCTTGATGATTTACCATTGCAGTATCATACATAAACCAAGCCATCCAAAACAGGACCTCATACAACTGTGTGACCCAACTATAGCATAATTGAAGAGCAAAGAAAGAATTTTGTCATTCTTTCTAGAGCAAATTATCCGGATGGCCACTGAACTTTTGGAATTGTTGAGTTTTGGCCACTGAACTATCTAAAGTTTAGATTTCGGGTCATTCCGTTAGATTTAATCGTTAACTATGCCCTTTTCTTGTCTTGTGAATCATGCAAGCTCTCAGATCTGTCATGTTTAACGATGAAATCTAACGGAATGCCCCACAATCTAAACTTTAGATAGTTCAATGGCCAAAACCAGACTTTTAATAGTTCAATAGTCAAAACTCAACGATTCTAAAAGTTTGGTGGCCATCCAGATAATTTGATCTTCTTTCTATGATTAGCAGACAATCTGGATATCTTGTGATAAAGGAATCATCTCTCATATTGAAATAAAGGCCAGTCCTTGTGGTAATCATTTTATTTATCAGTTTCTTATAATGGTAAAAGATGGAGTTGTAATGAAAAAATAAGATAAAATAAAATAAATGACTCGTAAATATGATATATTTGTCTCTGCATAAGAAGATTAAGATGCAAGTTTAAGATACATGATAACAACAGCAGAAGTGCGTAAAGTTAAAACAATTATTAGATGTGATCATCCAGATCAGTCATGAAGTTCAAATTGTTAATGCTGCAAACAGTATTATGTGATGTCAATGGTTTGTTATGCAACATTCATGGTAAAAGTAGAAGATTTGCATCAAAGAACACTTATTCTGGATCAAGCCACCATCATCTTGCAACTGTAAAAAGGAAGCAAGAAAGGAAGTAACTATGATTACATCGCAAGCAAGATGTAGAGGATGACCAAAATTTCAGGGCATGTTTGTCCATGTCAAGGTGGCATTTAAAGATGCTTATCAATGCTATGTAAAGGTAAACAATATCATTTTCATTGAATAAAGACTCCAAAAGAAGAGGCTGCACTTTTATGCAAGAGTACCATGGGATTCATTCATCATTATGATATTATTTTAATAATTTTTGCTATGACCACCTTGATGTTAAATATATTACAAAGTTTTTTTTTTTGTTGTTGGGGGGGCAGATAATCCTTGCCTTCATGAAGTTCGTATGACTTCATGCTCCTTCATTCAGTTTCAATCTTTTGCACCATTTTGTTGGAGTGAATATGAGAATAGTCATTGGCGTCCCTCAGCTAAGGCTCATTAATCAATTATTTAGCACAGTTTGAGGTACATGTTTGCCAATTAGATGCAAATACAGCATGGATTGCCAAAAATGTTAAGAACCAAATGATACTTTGAATCTGTAATCATCCTTAGAAACACAATCACCAGGAAGGAGGTGCAAAATATGTTACCACAAAATTTACCTTTTACCAGATTTGACAGACCATTTTCCTTCGAACTTCTTGAAATCACCATCAACCATGAAAACCTGGAGTTCACAATCATTTGCCTAAATAACAGTCAGTTGCAGATAGTTAAAAACTGAGATAAAGTTATCACACAAGTATGCCTAATTACAGTTACCTACTCTACCAGAATGGACAAGCAGAGAAATGCTTGGAAAAGTCTTGTTTGTCCTTAAAAGTAGCGGAAATACCAGTTCTGCCTTGCCTTCCTGTTAACTTCTCAACTGAGGGAAGGTGCAAACGAATTGAGTTTCTTAGAAGCATTGCTCGTCAGGAAATGAAAATAATAGGAAAGGAAGATGGATATGATAGGAGCTCTTTTGTTATTAGAATTTCTCCTGCATAATATCAGTAATAAAATGATGGAATATAGAAGGATAGGACAGCTCTAAAATCTTATGCATCATAACTAATATCATGGAGCTCCTTGAATGGTCAAAATATTTTTCAAGATCCCTCAGGGTCCCACGCTCAAACCTTGTATAGTCACCTTTACCCTACTCATATCTTTATCAAAGTTCAATACTTAAACATTCTTCACTTGGAGAAAGTTTCAATGTAACAGATGCAAAAGCAAATTGCAGCTCATATAGTAGACTGAAAAAATGCAGTTATGGCATATTGAGTAACATAAGGCAAATCTATGATTGGAGATGGTTTTCAAAGTTAGTTCCCATCTGTTGCTTAATACAAATTTTGGTATCTTTAACTGGACATCTAAAATGGATGCCATCGTGTAGTTCAACATGCTTACTGAATTTTGAAAACTCTTGGAGATCCAACACAACCCAAGCTTCTACGTGCCAATAAACAGCTCGTTGCAAGCCTTTCTACTCCAACCAAATACATCCAGGATGTGGACAAGGAATTCTCCTGCTGACAAATGGTTATGAATAAAAAGAATCAATTAATTAATACAATCACATTTACAGGAAACTAGTAGCACATGAAGAATACCATAATGTGATTGAACATTAAAATATCCATCATTTCCCAAGAGGCTGAAAGTGATATTACAGAAAATAATAATCAAATTGAATATGACCCATAGAAAATGTTGATGGAGTATAAAGGTACATATTAACAGAGGTTGAAAGAGCAAAGGATTGCAATTTTTGATTATATGACAAGAACCAGAGGAAGCTTCTAATGCTTAAGGCAATGGAACATTTAAGGGCAACAAGAGACAATTCTAAAGCATTATCATAATGCATGTCTAATTCCTGCAAAGCAATTTCATCCAGTGAAGTTTTTTAGTGCAATATTGTCGAAGGAAGTAAACTCTAATTACACTATATCTCCATTGATAGACTCTTGAACAACCACAGTCCAACGAAACCATTAGAGCTTAAAAGGACATTTGTAATATGAGCAATGCCATAAATCATCCGGACATATGAGACAAACACATGCTAGGATTGATTGGGGCCCTTTAAACTTATGCTTCCACAAAATTCCAAATAAATTCTGGAAAGATTTTCATGGAATATAATGAACACGGTAGCTGTCTACCATTTTTTTTCCTGATATAGCATGACGTTCCATTACTACATTAAATGGTCCATTGCTGGTGACTTGTACTACTAAGTCAGAATCATCTTAATCCTCTAGAGGCAAAAGATTTGAAAACGAAATGCTGTGCATACAAATAGTCCCTCACTCATATCCCAATATTCTGAGACGAAAAAGTGAAGTACTATCATCAACTTTATATTGTGTATTTCTGCATTCTAAAGCATTTAAGTTTTTATGAATCACACCTTTTCTGGAACATTAGCAACAAGCCTAATTTCCAGTTATTCTTCAATTACAAGCCAACCGAGCTCTTTGTAATTGTGAACTGCTGCTGTAGAGTACATTCTTTTTCACTTCTCCTCTAAGGATAGCAAATTATGCTAGTGAAGAGATTGTAGCATCCTTAACCAAGAAATAAAAAAAGAACCATAGAAATGCAAGTCCAGTAGCAGCATTACCAAAAGCTTAAAATTACTCAAAGTTTGCCATCAATTGGAAGGGGAAAAAAAGTGTGTATGAGTTTACATACCCACAAGATTGGGAATGAAATCAGCAAGCTGCTCATAGTCGGTAAGGGCATCCCAAATAGAATCCCATCTACATTAACAACTACCTCAGCCTCCATTCTACTTTCCCACCATGACATCACCTGAACTACACAATGGACTTTTCTCTCCACCTATTCTTCCTCTGAATTATGCTTTTTATGTTGTTTTACTATGACTATCATTTGGAATATGACCATTGAACCTCTATTTTGGTTTGTCAGTGATGGAACACAAGGCAACACACTTCTTTTGTAGACAGGATTTGAGCCCGTATATTATGCTCCTCGGTTTGCTTTCAAGACTGCCATTGAGAGTCTATGCTACATGAATCGAAGTTGAAGCTTTGCTGGTAACCTTGATCATGGAGTGAAGTTGTCAGTTTGAAATATAGCGGCACCTGTTCCCACTGATTTTCGTTGGTTAACCATATGAAATCTAGCGGTACCTGTGGCCAGCTGAAGTCCCACACCCTAGTGCCTATTGTTTGCCATATGGAGCCCCATAACAGAAGTTAGTAGTATTTAGAACTGAAATAAAGACATTTTGAATCAATTCTTTTGTACAAATTTGACACAGTAGCATACTCCATATGATGCCAGACTGTGGTTTCCAGTATGCCTAAATTATTATATGGAGTAATGTAGAATAGATTAGCTGCTCTTTATTATACAATTGCCCTACACAAACATCATACCTTAAAATGTTCTCAGCTAAGGGATAAAGATCACAAAACATGACAAACTAAAACGATAATCCAATTTTCTGTAAATGAATTAATTTGACATCCATAACATCAATAGGAAATAGCAGATCTTCACCTAAGGTGGGATCAAGATTCAATGAACTAACAAGACAATAAAAAAAATTAATGGAAACTATGCATGCAGTCCCCACAAAGAATTACAGAAATGCAACAATCCATCTTCCAAAATCATATCCATCAAATTTTCAACTACACAAACACTTAATAGATCGTAGAAACTCCATTCTGCAAACAAAAACATCAAACACTTAATAAGCAAACCTTGCTGCACTTAGATTGAAAACATAAAATCCACACAAGGAACGCGAACATTTCTGTACAGTGAGGCCTATTAAATAAGAAGTGCTAAAAGGAATAAAGGTGCACCTCACAGCATTCGTGGTGCTAAAAATTCCTGTCACACCCCGCCCTTTCCTGGACCGGGGCCTCAACAATTGCTCCGTGTTCAATTACACGAAACAATATAGAAACTGAAACAACAAATATAGTCAATAGTCCAGCAAGTAATCTTGACGACACCAATTTAAAGGGAAAAATCTCCTCCGCCACGAGCTGCCCACCTGCTATTTCTCTAATAATCACTCAGGCCCCTGATCATCCCTCCTCCCATAATCCCTGCAAGCCGCCCCACCATTGATTTCAATTACCACTAGCTCCCCAAACCACACACATCCTAACTTCCCTTCCCCCAGCTTGCGGAATACACCAAGCATTCGTAGATGAACCACCGCCAACTCCATCCAACCCCATCACTGGCAAAATGGATGCTCAGTCAATACTTTTCCAACTTGGAATGCATACACAAGTATAAATGCATCGAACCAGGTGAAATTAAGAATTAAAGTACACGATTTTCTGAAATGAGAGCGAGAGAGAGTGAGAGAAAACTGACCTTGAGAGAAGAGAACGGGAGTTTGTTTGTGCTGGAGAAAGAGACGTTTGGGAGTTGATTTGGCGGGATAAGGTAGTTACCTGTCAGCATGCGTTAGGAGAGGAACGTAGGGGTGTGAATGGAAATCGAAATCGGTAATTCGAAACTTTAAAATCAGAATTTTTTGAATTTTGGTATCAAAATTTTTGATCGATTTTGATTTCGAATTCACCAACTCTGAATTTGAATTCATTCCGAATTCAATTTGGAATTCGGTAAATTCCGATTTCACCGAATTCATGAATATAAAAATTATTATTATTATTATTATATAAATATTATATCACATATATATATATAAAGAACTTTAAAATCAAAATTTTTCTGAATTTTGGTATCAGAGTTTTTGACCGATTTTGATTTCGAATTCACCAACTCCGAATTCGAATTCGTTCCGAATTCAATCGAATGCTCCGATGCAACTGCTATCGAATTAGCTCCTGGGGTCCGGAAGAAGATTTTCTTTTGGTTAAGCCTTCGGCACGGGGCCCCTTGGGAAGACAACCGAAGGAGATATGATTTGGGGGCCAATGGGAACCCCGATAAGGCAATTGTGGGTGCTCCTGCGCCAATTAGTTTATCATTTTCAAGGGTCAAAAATGAAAGTAGTTGAAGTAATAGTCTTTTTGTTATTGAATCGTCAAAAATTATTATTATTATTTTATAAATATTTGATTTGGGTCATATCGATTAATAAGGTTTTAGGGTTTAGGGTATAAATAGTTAAAATTATTAACATAATTAATTATATTGTTTGGATTGAAAAAGATATAAAATTGTTGTACTTGAGATTAAAAAAATAAAAGCAAAAAAAAAAAAAATAGAAAAGAAGAAAAATTAGAAAAGAAGAAACAAAAAGGTGGAAGATGTCTTGTATTTAAAAAAGAAGAAAATTTTTATTTTCGTCAATGTGAATATTTAAATTTTACTAGATCTCGTATTTTTAATTGTCAAATTAGCTGATTTCTGCATGAAAAGTCTTGGGAATTTATTTTGATAGCGCTTAGGAATAAATTTGTGGTACATTCATTTATATGGAATTTTAAATGTTTTCCTGCAATTTTTGCTTCCTTTTGATAAACTTAAACCTTGTTCGGATATTGGTAAAATGTTTATTTACCTTATTTTGGCAAAAAAGAATGGATAAAAAGACAATCTTTTGATTGGGGTTGGGTTGTTAACGGAATTATTGACATTTTCATAGTAAATATTGAAAGAGAAAATAAATATTCAGAGAAGTTGATTTCCTGGAAATCTAAAGTTTAAAGCTTTTTTTTTATTTTTTTTAATATAGTCTAAAGTTGGTTTCTCAAAAACTTTTAAAGTTGTTTCCTGTTTACATTTCTTTTTCTTCCTTCACTAATCTATAAGTTTCTTCTTCTTCTTCTACATGCGACTCTATCAGTCTGATGAATGGATTGTTATCAATCACGTGCTATTGTTTAGTGCGGCATCAAGTGCCTCTTCTCTCATCGATATAGACATCTTCCACCATTTTTTCATCTTTTCTAATATATGTTGGCAAGCACGGCAGCCTTTACCCTTTCTTTTAAAAAAAAAAAAATGATTCCCCTGCTGTATTTAATCAGCACGATAGGTATAGTATGGAAAAACGCAACAATTCATCGATTTTTTTCACATATAATCTAAGGAATTAGTCCATCCAATTTGGTGGCAAATTAGCAGCCAGTGAGGTTTTAATAAATTACCATAATAGCACACCAAAAAATTTTAAAACTAAAATAGAGAATAAATAAATAAAAAGGAAGAACGCAAGATTTTACATTTATATAATTTTGACTTATTTTCTCATGTAGGAAAAACTGAAAGGCGTTCATTCTTTTTAACTTTAATTTCATTTATGTTAAGAGCAGACCAAAAGGCTAATACTCTCTTTAATTTTTTTTTTCCTTTGGAAAAAAGAAAAGAAAAGAAAAGTAAAGACCAGCCCAAAAGGAGTAAAACAAAAAGCGGGATTTGAACCCGACGTGAATCGAACACGCAACCTTCTGATCTGGAGTCAGACGCGCTACCATTGCGCCACGGATCCACTTTGTGCAAGTGATCTTTTCTTTTATATATCAGTATAAAGTACCTTAGCTTCACGCCTTCACGTGCTTGCAAACGTATGTGTGCATATGTTTCCAAAGATAGTTGCAAGCTCTGGTTCGTTCCAAGCTTTCCAGACAACTTTTAATTAGCAACAGACTGAGAAAGGAAAGAGTCACATTCTTATTTCTCTAAAACCCTATCCATTCTTTCACGCAATTTCAACAAACTCATGAAAGAATTCTCCGAGTTGTCATTTCATTAATCAATAAGCCATTAGAAAAATAATAATAAAATGTTATCTAAAATTAAATAAACAAAGTCAAAAGAGAGAACAATAATATAATAGCTAGCAAAATTCTTCCGGTCACAATATCCACAAGACATATATATATATAGAACCAAGTCCAAGTGGCTTCAAATTGATCATGTCCGCACCATCCAAAAGAAATTACTACTCCCTAGTAAACATCTGAATAGAGCAAAAGCTAGCAGAACAACCCACAAAAAGAGAAAAAAAAAAAAAAAAAAAAAAAAAAAAAAAAACCCTTCAAATCTTGAACTATCCTTGTACTAACAGAGAACCCACATTGGCCAGCTAGCTAATCGTCCTATATATATATGTATGCCTTTCTCAGTTGGAGGGAACATGGTAGAATTTCCCTTTACACATGCACCTGTATACAATTGGGCAAGACTCCGAATTTGAGCATTTGAAGCTCACCATAACCCTCTTGCATGGAAAACAGGGTCCGCATGCATGGGAGCAGTCTGGCAGTCTGGACCCTGTAGGATATAGCTCCATCCCCAGGTCACCCTTTCCTCCATCCTGAACCTGAACATTGACAAATACTAACTAGTATATAAGGTCACCACTCACCAGGGGTGGAGACTAGAGTATCAATTAGAAGTATGTGAAAAAAGAAAATTCGAAATACAAGGAGTGTGTTTTGAGAGGGAGAAAATGGGACGAACCTCTTCTTGGTGAATGTGACTTGAATGGCTCTTGTAAGCACCTTTTCCATGGAATGCAACTGATGAAATATATGATCAAGCAGCAATATTGTAAGTAACCAATACTTGTATATATCTATTCATGAAAGAGAAATTTGATGAGTTTAAAGATATTGAGGTCAAAGGACTTTACTGATGGCAAGAACCGTGAAGCAAACTGTCACAAGTGCCAATCTGCGCAATCCAACTGAGGGGCAGGTCCTCATTTTCTTTCTTTCCTTTTCTTTTTTTTTAAAAAAAAAAAATTACGCTAAACGGATCAGAAGAGAAAACTGAAGATTTGCAGTAATATGGGAGTAGGAATCTTGACTTATATATGAAATTTTTTGAGGAGGGTTTTTAATGTAGGAAGCACATCTGTTACAGTACATCACATGATACATGGCCATCTTCTGAAGATTCACATGCTTTCTTTGACTGATTCACCCGAAATAAATAAATCAAAGTAGCATACCAATAGTGGAATACGTAGCTTCAGATTTCCTCCTCTGCAGAAACAGAGACAAAAAAACCGCATTCAATTTGAACTATTGGTGCGTCCGGCCATGAAAGCAAAAAAAGGTTGCTTCTGAAGAAATTAATGATCGAGCGAGGGAAATTATGGACTTTTGAGACATGAAGCACTATATCCGGACATAGACTTAATTGCAGTCATAGACAAAAGAAGTGGCGAAGGGAAGGAAAGAGAGTTAATTGAAGAATGCCTGCCATAAACGTGAAGGTCTGTGGCATGAAATTAAATGAACTTTTTGTTTCTACTATTTACTTTCACTTCTTCCATTCTCGATGGATGGTGATGTCTCTATGCTATTCTCTTGTTTACAGCTTTGGAGGTAGAAACCAAGTTGACGACGTTACAGTAGGTTAGGATATCTCCTCACAGTTCCATTAATGGGTGGGAATATATGAAGTTACTGGTGGACAAAAGATGAGGAGAAATTTCAGACTTAACATTTTTGGTTTTATCACTTTATTAGTTCAAGTGAAAAAGCAAGCCTGCAACCCAACAGACCCTACCTATGCTCACAAGAATACGCTTTTTTTTTTTTTCTAACAATGGCCACATTTGACAAATGAGTTTTTTGAATGTTTGTCTAAAACTTTACTATAACTTATTGCAGAAGTTGTGAAAAAAAAAATTTTTTTGGAGTGTGCAAATTTTTTAACATTTTGAAATGTATAGTTTAAAAATTTTGAGAAGTTTTTTGATGTTACTGTAATTAAAGTTGTTCAAAAACTTATAGCAGACAAACTTGATCAAAAACTTACTTGCCAAATAAGACCAATGATAACATTTGTATAACCTATTCTATCATATTCTAGAAAAAACCTAATCAATGAAAGACACCATCGAAGAAGTAATGGCAAGCTATAAATAGTGACCGGTAAGAAATAAAATTTGAATTTTTGACCTTTTACCTCCGATCAAGACTCAAGTCTTGATAATGACCAACAGATCAAATCAGTGGCTGTTGCCCTATCCTAACAATAATACATGCCATCCGGCCATTCAACTTTCTAAACAAAATGCAACAAAAGAATAAGAGATTGTTTGGAACATGACTGCCATTCTTGGCAAGAGAGACCTGTGTATTTCGTCCTTCGTGTTTGGGATGTGTACCAATTGAATTGGTGCCCTGTGTTTTACCAAAGAAATTTGAGTTCTGGTCATTAAAATTTTCTAATTTCAACTGATAAAAGAACAATTGCTGAAAATGATCCAACAATGATTATGTTTGTAACTTTGTATAGTCCTTTTAATTACAAACTATGAGTTCAAGGTTAGGGAAAATTAGTGTAGATTACCCCTCCATTAAAAGCCCATATACCATTCAACCACAATTTCACCTTTCAAATTATGATCCCAAATTTTACCCACTTGCGCATCCAAATGCTACCAAAGAAAATTCAGACAATATCTTTACTTGGCTTGTCCTTACCAAAAACAATAATATTACTTGTACAAAAAAATCATCCGTAA